AGGGGGATGGGGAAGGGTGACGAAGCGGAGGAAACGCGAAGGAAAACCGTCACCGTCACCGACCGCAGCGACGATAATCGTGTTTTTCGCATCGTCGCCAGTGCTGGATATCGCGTGTTTTTTGTTGTTTTGTTTTTTGGGTTTGTTTTCTTCTTATTTTTTTCAGAGGCCCCCAGTGGCAACGCGAATTCAGGGGACGCAAGTAGGCACCGAAGGCCAAGGGCACGAGAGGACAGTATCGTGTGGGGCCGTTTCCGTGGGGCGCCGTAGACAGAGCGTTAGCTTCGTCACCGTGCCAGCTGGCACAGCGCTTCAATGCGGCAGGGACGCGATGGTAACCATTGTTTGTGTTTCGCGGACCGCGCGGACCAAACCGTAGAGCTGTCCGTCATGGTTTTGCTGTCCATTGTCGTTGCAGGCTTATTGTTTGCACGCGTGGGGTTCACTTGCGTGGAGAGGGGGCCATCGTTTCCCACCCAGTTCGTTGGCGTGCCGTGGGGAAAAAATATGGCCATGGTTTCTTGTCAATGGGATTCCCCTAAGAGCACGAAGGTAATCGCGCTCCCGCGTTTCGAACGTCGCACAGTGCAAATTGAGGTGATCGAGGCGATGGTCCTGAGGGGCTGTTCAGAAGAGTAGTTCGGGAATTGATGGGCCTGGCCACGTTGGTCCAGGGATGGTTCGGAAATTATTATACGATAGTTCCGATGTGGTTCCGGCATAGTTCAGGATGGTTTCGGGCGGCTTCGTAGAGCCAGCCTGGTAGGCCTGCATGGGTACTGATTAGGGCCATGTGGAGGTCTTCGAGCCGATTCGGGCGAGCTGATTCTGGGCAGGTGTCTCGGAGAGATCTCCAGATCAACCTTGGGCCGTCTGTCCGCGTCCTGTGGGAGTCTCGGAGGGGATTGGAGTGGTCTTGAGCTGGCTCTGTGTTGTATTAGGGGCGTCCTGGCCCGTAGCGGAGTCTTTCCAATCTTATCGTGGGCTGTTGTTTGGCCGTTTGTGGGCTGCTTGGGGCGACTGCTGTGTCGCCTGGGGAGACTCTCGGCCTTTGCGACCAGAGCGGATAGTGCAAGGCTTCAGTTTTCACTCTCGAAGAGGCGAGCTTGGCGTTTTTCTCTGGAGGCGGCAGGGGCCTCTTGGAGTATCTTTGGGCTCTGTGAGGCCTCATGCGGACTCTTCGGGCTTTCTTTTGCAACTGTTGGGGCGTTTTTTCTGACCTTTTGGAGCGCCCGCGGCAGGAACAGTGTGGTCATGGAAGTGACGGAGCGCGCTCAGAATGCATGTGTGCAGAGTAACATAGGTTGGCCGCCTGACATTTGGAGAGGCGCTGCGCAGCATTCCAGCCGAACGCGTGGATTACGCTTTCGTTGCTCGTGTACGCGAGCGAGCTGGAGGAGTCCGGGCGGTCTTGGGACCGCTTGAGGTTCTTTTGGAATGATCGTGGCCGTTGTGCAATCATTGATCGGTTACATTGCGAGGCTGGGCGTCGCCCTCCTGCGCAAGAGACAAGCCGAGGATGATTGCGAGGTGGAGTGTAGAATGACGCGGATGATGATGCTGATGCTGATGTTGATGCCGATGATGATGCTGATGATGATGATGATGATGATGTTACTGATGATGGTGATGATGTTGCTGCTGATGCTGCTGATGATGATGCGTGACGATGATGACGATGATGACGACGACGATGATGATGATCATGGTCATGGTCATGGTCATGGTAATGGTGGTGATGCTGATGATGATGTTACTGATGATGATGTTGATGATGCTGATGATGATGATGATGATGATGGTGGTGATGAGGATGACGAAGACGATGACGACGACGATGACGATGATGGTGCTGATGTTGTTGATGGTGGTGGTGATGGTGATGCTGCTGATGATGCTGCTGATGATGATGCTGATGATGATGATGATGGTGATGATGATGGTGATGATGATGATGATGATGATGATGATGATGATGATGATGATGATGCGGAGGAGGAGGAGGAGGAGGAGGAGCTGGAGGAGGAGGAACCATACATCAGTAGCAGCAGTACGCTGATGATGGCGAACACTATGAACGCGTTTGTGGTGACGAGGATGCGCGGTGCGGGGTGGGAGTCCTGCCGCTTTCTGGGTCTGCTGGGGCCAGGTGTACCAGTGCGCGTTTCAGGAGCACCAGGAGAACATGCTCATCTGTGCCCCTACGGGCAGCGGCAAAACCAACTGCGCCATGCTGACGATTCTCAATGTCATGTCGCAGTTCAGGCCGCCATCGGCGGCACCTTGCGCTCTCTATCCAGAGTCTGGGCCCCCGGAGGATGCGACGAAGAGCTTGTCAGAGCGGAGCTCGGGCTGCAGCGGCTCCCCTGGTGCACCACTACGCTTCACAAGTAATCAGGCTCTTGGTCTCTGAGTGTGGCGGAGTCTCGGGCGAAGGCGGACATCGAACGCCTTCCAGAGGACAGCTGAATTATTGCGAACACCTCGCGGCCGGTGACGCCGAACCTCAAGGTATGATTTCCCCCAGGACCCGCCGGGAGGTTGGGGGGGACCCGCCAGGACTTCCGGGGGGGGTTACGGCATTCTGACCCGGGACCCCCCCTCCCCCCCCACGTCAGGGGAAAAAGGGGAGGGATCCGACTCAATTACGACGTTTCTATTCTTGGATGCTCAATTCTCTTGGGATTGGCGACGACGACGTCGATGACGACGACGACGACGACGATGACGATGACGATGACGACGACGACGACCAGGAGGGCAAAGCCTCTCGCACACGCCGAAGGGTCGGCGTTTTTTTGTTGATGCCAGGGTGCCAACCGCACCCATCATCCGTGCGCCATGCCGCCTCCACCCTCCACGCTCTCCATCTTCTCCAAGGCTGACACAGACGGTCGTTGGGGGAAAACCTCCCTGGGTGCGCCACCACCTCCAACGCAACCAAGTCCAACACCTCCGCCTCCTCTTTCTGGGCTCATGAGGCGGCCTGGCTGTGTTGGAGCCGTCTCGGCTCCAGCATTCCTCCGTCCCTCCATTGTAGTTCTGAGTGAACTCCTCCATCTCGCCTGCCCCGACTACGACGACGGAGTTTCAAGGGGGAGACGGCGAAGGAGGCCCTCCCCCCCTGCCCCCGCCAACTCATCCTCTTCCTTCTTCTCGCCGCCTCCTATTGGTACGCGCTCCCTCCACATCCCTCTCTCCTCCTCTTCCTCCATGTACTCCTCTTTGCCAGCCCCGCTCTCCACGTCCTCAGGCTGAAGGACGGCTCATTCGACTTGGCAGGCTTCAAGGACTCCGCGCCCCCTCCCCGGCTCCCGTTCCCCCGCTGCTCGCTTCGCCCTCGTGTGCCTCTTCCTCGCCATCGTTTCCAGCGTGGGGTAGCAGCACCAGAATGGAGGATGAGGAGGAGGAGAGCAGTGAGAGGAGGGAGAGGGAAGTGGGAGTAGGCTGAAGAGGGGCAGAGTGATGGGGGGGTTGAATATGACAAGTGTAACCCAACGATACATATATATATACATATAAACGTTGCCCTCCTCATACACCCCTACAGCCCCCCCCCTCCCTGCTCACTACAAGAAACGCCCTTTGGGCCTGCCGTTTTGGCAAGGGTACCTCTCTGACATCGGTCTTCCCAGAGCGCAGTCAGGAACGCGAAACAATTAATGGCCATAAGTCTCAAGCGACAGTTGCATATTGAACAAGGGCCACCATGCATCAGTGCAGCGTTATGTGCGTTGAAGCTTCGGGTCCTTGTCCTCAGCGAAATCTCAGGCGAGAGCTCCGTGTTGCATTAGAAAATGAAAACGCGCGGCGCAACGGCGAGGGCCCCCTTTTGGGCCCATGAAGCGGCAGTCTTGGGGGTCATTTGGGGCCCCTGAAGCGGCAGTCACGGAAATGGAGGAGGACAAGGGGGTGGAGTGGTGGGGTGATGGGGGTAGGACGGACAAGGGGGCGTGAATGAGCACGATGGGGAAGAGTCGCAGACGGAGGGGAGGGAAGGGGCGGTGGGCGAACGTGGCGAGAACAGGATCGCAAGTGGGTCCATTTTTCGGACCCTGAGGATGTTCGGCTGGAATATATTTGATTTGATTGTGATATTGCTGATCTTGCTGAATGGATTGAGCATCTTTGATTTGAGACTGTCCGTGGTGCGTGTCTTCAGGGTCCTTCGATTGGTGTATGTTGTTTGCGAAGTCTGGGTGATGCCAAGGTTCCGAGAGCTAAGGCTAATGATTGATGGCATCATGAAGTGTGGCAAGACTTTATTGTGGTCCTCAATCATATGGCTATTCTTTACTTGCGTCTACGCCATCGTGTGTATACAACTATCCGCCGATTGGAGTTCGATGGCCAACGATTCGAGCGAGTCGACCCACGCGACCAACTTGTTTCTCCAGGAAAACTTCCCCTCGCTGGGCTACAGCATCTACACGCTCTTCAAATCAGTCACTGGAGGGGTCAGTTGGGGCGAGGTGTCGGACCCCCTGCAAGATGTCAGCCTCGTGTTTCAGTTCTCATTCCCTGTCTGCATTGTCGTAGCAATGTTCTGCGTTCTCAACATTCCCCCACCACCTCGCACCTCTCGTCCATACCCCAGCCACTTCACCGGCGGGGGGAAGGCCAAATCAGCGTCATCACGTGGTCTCCGCAGCTCGATCAGCTTGGAGACTCCATCGGTAACCTCACAAAGTACTACTCGGACTCAGCAGCCAAGACGCCTCTCAAGCCGAGGGGCGCGCAGCATCCTGAGCCTACCGACGTCGTCTAAGGCCCCCTTCCAGGCGGGCACCGCCGACATACGACAATTCCTCAGCATCGCGGGCGACCCCGACGACGCCGTGACCCCACCGATGGCACCCACGTGCCCCCGCTACGACGCCTACACCTACTGGCACTGCGAGTGTGGCTGGAAGCCCAACATCCTGAACCAGACGGTCAACTAGATACGCAACGAATCGAGGAAAACGCTTCGCAGTTTGGCAACGATTTACCACTTAGAAGACGGAGCTGGCCCAGCAGGCCCGGGACGTCATCTGCGACCCCGTCAAGGCCTCCGCGTACACGACCCAGCTCTCACGCATGAAGACCACCGAGTACACCTGTTCTCGCTGCGGCAGGAGCCTCCCGCTCGCCTGCTTCAAGAAGACGGTGTGCAAGAAGCGCCCTGACGGCATGACCCAACGAGCAGCTCTCCGCACCCTCCTCGGGCAGGCCAGGGCCGACAGCTTCCTCAAGGAAGCCTACAGGAAGTCGCGCAGACGTGCGGCTGAACGGGAAGCAGAAACTGGCTACCACGAGAAGCAGTACCAGCTCTACGGCCGCCAGACTTACATCACCAGGATGTCTCGCCAGAAAGGGGAGGCAGTCGAGCCACGCCGACGCGTTCGCCGACGGCCTGCCGCTGCTGCCTCCAGCAGCCGACGGGACCCGCTCCTGGGGGGAGGCAAGACCCCTCGGGGGCCGACGTGCCAGCCCACGGCACCGAAACGAATTCGAATCAATGCTCCAGATGTTCATCAAAATTCTCAGCAGACGCTCGCGCCTCAACGGCGGCCCTCGCAATTTACCGCTGATGATCCACATGGTAAGCGGCTGCGGACGCAGTTTTCTCCAGAGGATGGTGGAACGTTGGCTTCATTTTCTTCGCCACCAACACCTACGGCAACGATCCCGCCGCAGCCTTCTTCTGGGAATGATGGTGTTGCTTCCCATTTGATTGTGCCCTCGTCAATTCCAGTCAGTTCTCTGTCCCCGCCGCGTGGCCGATACCACCTGTCCCCACTGCATGTCCCTTCTGGGACTGGGAGTTCCCATACTACGCACGACGGCCCGCGGGCCAAACGACCGCGGCGCGATCCCACCGGCGGCGACGACGCTGCTGGCGACGCCGACCAACCCATGGAAACCACGCCCGACGCCATGCAACTCCGAGTATGCACTATCAACGTCACTAGCCTCACCAAGGCCCGCCTGACCACCATCCTGTCCTCCCGAGACACGATGGCAGCTGGCATTGTGTGCCTGCAGGAGATCCGCCAGCGGGAGCTTCGCCCCAGGTGGGCCCTCCGCCTCGCCACGAGCCTCGGTTGGAGCATCGCCTGCTCCGACCCTCCCCCTGCCACCAGGGGGGCCACCGCCGCTGTGCGCCAAGCGGGGTGCGCCATAATCTGGTGACGTTCGCTGGGCCGTGTCCACGTAGTTCGGGACATGATACTCGGGCACAGGATGGTGGGTATTCGCGCGACGCACGCTACTGTCCTCTCGACCTACGGCCCCGCCGAGCTCGACCGCGACCGGTTCCACCGTAGTTTCACCTTCTTTCGCGCGCCCGGCCACCTCGGCCACCCAATCTTCGTCGTTGGGGACCTGAACTGGCGCCCCACCTACGCAGGGGCCATCGGACACGGCTGGCGCCTCGACACCACCGCCGACGGCTCACCATCAACCACGACTACGGCGAATACCTGCCCGACGCGCGCCCTGTCTTGGGGAAGCCCCGATGCCAGGCCACCAGTGCATGCCAACACCACGGTCTTGCCTGGCATTCCACACCACGGCCTCGTCAGCTACTCTCAACTTCCCGTGCACGGAACAAACCACCCACCGCTTCCGACGGACCGTTGCCTACGTCCCAGCCCGCGACGTTTTTCCCGAAGAGAGAGCTTTTATGCAGGAAATGGTCGACTTGGAATTCGGTCCTCCCCTGATTTCCGACGACGCAGACGGCAGCCCGCCGCTCACGGACCGATGGGACTATTGGCACCAACGCGCCGAACAGGCGATGCTAGTGGCAGTCGACCGTGGCTGCGTGCAGCTCGACCAACTGGCCGAACGGCCCAAGGGCTCCAAGCCCGCGATTCGACGAACCTCGCTCGCACTCACCAGCACACCGACTGGGCCAGTCGATAGCTCTCCGACGCCTGCTACTTCTCCACAGGGCCCACGCAGAACACCTTCGCCAGGGAGGCCGAAGCGACGACTACCTCACGCCGAGGCACCACCGCTCGGTAGCCCAAGCGGCCCTCGACGCCATCCTCAACGTGCAAGCCTGCGGCATCCCATGCTACTCCGACGCCCTCCACTGGATCTCCCAGGCGACCTCGGCGGAGCAAGCCCGTCTCCAAGACGGGGCAAACCGCCAATGGAGACAGAGATTCGCCAGCTGGAGCAACGACCTCTGGTCCTATACGACTCCCATGTTCAAGACCACGCCGCCGACGCCCGCCATGAACGTCCACGACATGCGCCAGCAATGGCATGACCAATGGTGACCCGACAACTACGACGGCGACGCGCACCACCAACGCTGGAATACCTATGCCGCGGACACCGTCTTCCCGAAATCCGACAAGGCCTCCGACTGGACACCCTCCTGGGGCCAGTTCTGGGCAGCCATCCAACGCGCCAGGGGTTGCCCTGGGCTTGACGGCTGGAGCTTTAAGGAGCTCCGCGCTCTGGCCCATTGGTCCCCGACCATCGCCCGCGAGTTGTTCGACCTCTGGACTTCCACGCCCACGGCAGCTGTCCAAGCCCAGGGCCACCCCCGCCCGACATCCTCTCCAGGGTCTTCCCCTGGAGGGTAGCAGGGGTGCCCGAGGGGGAAAGCGACGCCCGGCCGATCTCGGTCGGCTCGGTACCCCTCAGAGTCTGGCTCAGGTCCCTGTCCCAAGCCGTGCCTGAGCCGCCAGACAATCAGCACGCCAACCGCTATGGCGCCAGCATCACCCACGCCACGGCCGCCTGGCTATCCGACTGCGCGGACTCCTTCGACGGAGTGGAAATGGACTTGCCACGGGCCTTCGACAACATCGGTCACGAGCTAGCCCAAGAAAGCCTCATCCAGAGCGGCCTGCCAGACCTCGTGGTCTACACCTGCCGCGCTGCGTGGTCGGGCCCCCGCCACTGCCCCTTCATGGGCATGGCGGCGCCACCGATCCACCCGCAACGGGGCCTCCCGCAAGGGGGCGCCATGGCCCCAGCCACGATGGTGGCTTGCCTCGCCCCTTGGCAGCCCCTATCCTCTGGCCACGCCTTCATGGACGATCGCGCGATTGTCTCCACCTCGCCGGGCGCGCTGGCCACCGACATTGCAGATGCCCAGAGCTTCGACCGACAAGTGGGCTTTGTGGAACGCATCGGCAAACGACAACACTGGTCCGACCAAGATGTCGTTCCACGACGCATCGAGCACCTCGGAGTATTCGCAACACCGACCGACTTCAGCTTCGGCATCATTCCACGCCAAGGGTGGGCAAAGCTAGAGACCTCCATTGCCGTGCTGGCCTCCATCCCCGGCAGCAACCAGGTTCGCCCCATGCTCGCCTTCGCCTACATCCGTCCTCTGTGGCTCTGGGCGAGCCGACTGGTCATCCCGTTGCTCATCAAGTGCGCCAGGACCCTGGCGCGAGCCGTCTGGCACACCGATTGCACCTGGTGGTGCCACGGGTGGTGGTGGGCCCAAAATGTATTATTTCATCCAGTGTATGATGCTGCTATGCTCGCTTTCAAGAACACTGAAGATCCTAAGCTGAAATGGCCGGTGTTTTTGGAGCATTCTATCGCTACTCATGCAACTGCGTTGGGTCTCGCGCACCGACGTTTTTCTCCTGCGCAAGGAGCTCAATTGGAAGTAAATCCCACCGACGATCACCGTGTGCTGAAACCGGTGGAGGAGCACGTGGGCGACTACTGGCGCTTCTGGTCGGGGTCCTCCAGTGCTCTGCACGCCCCGAGAGTTATCGCGCGCATCCGTTGCCTACAAGCAGTGGTTCCTACGCGGCGCGACGCGGAGGAAATCTCAGACGTCGACGTCGAGATCTGCTCGGCCAAGGCCTATGCGCGCTGGGTGGGTGCACTCAGCGACGCGGACAAGACGGTTCTCTCGATCTTCTGCTCTGGCGCCGTTGCCAGCGAGTCGGAGACGAACCGGGCTCGCACGCAAGCACTGCGGCGCAGCTACCCCATCGTTTCGCCGCCATGTCTGGGCTGAATGCCCGAGGTGGCACCATGCGAGATCCAACGTCGGAGCTCGCTACATGCTTCCCGACAGTTTCTGGACATATGCTTCAAGGTGTACGGCGAAGTCGGGATGGGTTACTTACGCTCTTGCTGATACCCTGGAGGAGCGGACTCGAACGCTTCTGGCCTCTTTGCTTTTTAGGCGTTACGATATTGGCTAGTGGAAAGGAAGATGTGCTTACTGATGCTTCCCCGCTACCTTTCCTAGAAGACGGCGTTTTGGCAACAGGAGTGTAGACTAACATCTTCAATTTGGATCTATCCCACACGCCAGGGTGTTCCATTTCAACTTGTCTCTCGCGTTCTCAACGTCAGGTGGGCGTAGGAGGGCGAAGCGGGCGAGACCCGGGAGGGGGCTGGCGGAGGAGGAGGGCGACAAGCAAGGCGGAGGTTGAGGAGGGCGAGGAGGGCGAAGGCGAGGAGGAGGTGGCGGAGGCGGAAGGGGGGCCCCGGCCCCAGGTGGCGCGGTCTTCCAAGAAGAGCTGGCCAGTGTTTCACTGCAGGATGTGGCACGCTCTTCCAAGAAGAGCCGGCCAGTGATTCACTGCAGGAGGGGTGGCCGGCCTGTGGCCACTTCTATGTCGTGGACTCCGACATCAGGGGCTTCGGCATGTACAATTTCATATATATATATATATATATATATATGTATATATATATATATATATATATATATTCTCTCAACGTCATCACTGCAGCATTCGTAGAGGCCGCGTCGCGCAAATCGCAGGATGCAGAGGAGGCCGCGTTGCACAACATCACAGAGAGAACCACGCGGACTGTTGCGACACAGCAAATTTTCGCAAGGTTCGACCATGGCAATGACAATGCTCTCAACGGGGCAGAGCTCTCGCATCTCATGAACAACTGGGAAACCCGTTTGTCCCTCGATGACATGGGCATCGATATGTCTTTCCAGCGCGCCTCATTTTTGTTCGAATTGTTCGATTGGGACCAGGATGGACACATCGACGTCGACGAATTTGCCCAGGGCGTGCACCATCTTAAGGGGAGCGCCCGCAGTCTGGACATGTACCGCCAGTTCGTGGAACTGTCGCCACATATTTCTAGCCTCCAGCGAATGGTGGAGCAACTCTCGGCAACCTCTGGTGCAGGCTGGCCTCGTGATTCTCGGATCTTTGGCTCAGACCGAAAGTCGTCGTTCCCAGACACGCCCTGCTCAGAAGCTTGCGATGGCTCCTGGTTTGTTTTCTCTCTCGAAGCGTTTCTCCACTTGTTCCCCCTCCTGGTTGACAGTTGCCACCCCTTCGTAAATGGATTTTGTGCTCTCCGAGTCCTCCAGCGAACAGCTGCGCCAGTTCTGGTCGGACCGGGTCGGTTTTGTTTGACGTGCATTTGATGCGTCAAAGTAGCTATTCGAGAGCGTCCGTCTGCCCTGCCCAACCTTCAGCCTCTTGCGCACCAGCGTGGTGGCCGGCTATCCGCTGACATTTGGCTTTAGATGTCAGAGTAGATATCAGAAGCCACGTGATCCCGGTCCGTCCGTGTTGAATATATCGAAGCATTTAGCTGTATCGTTCTTTCCCTCCCTCCTACTACTTCTCTTCCTCCGCCTCCTTCGTTGCCCATGGAACCTCTCCTCTGCATGGAATGTTCCGGCGTCGTAGTAATCACGTGAATGTTTCGTCGAGATGGGCGCGGAAATTTGCAATCCAATTCCAATGTTTCGGCGCGGAGTGTCCCAGCATGTATATTTATGTGATTACTTCACGCTGCAGGTTGCCTGCCGGTGTTGAAAACCCGGGCGTTGCACCGAGGAAACAATCATAGCCTTCGACTGGCCTTCGAGGCCCCACAAAGCGCCCCACGAGAGTTCCAAGACGGCCCAGGGTGACACCGCGACAGCCCCAAGGCGTCCCAAGACGCCTCCGAGAGGCCCCCAGGCAGCAACAATCGTCCCATTCCTTTTAGGAAAATGCATATCTGTTCAGCACGTTCGCCGGAGGGTACCCAGAGGGGGAAAATCCGGTTAATCCGGATCAGATTTTGAGTCTTGGCCCAGAGGCCCCTAGGAGGCCCCAAAAGGCCCCCAAGAGGCCCCCAGATGCTTCCAAGATGCCCCCAGGAGGCCCCCAAGAGGCTTCCCCAACAGAAGACAACTGAGTGAAGTCTTGACACTTTTCCTGCATCCTCCGCCTCATCCTCTTCTTTGTCACACGCCGTCTCCTTTACCTCCTCGTTGTCCCCCTACTCCGCTGTTCCTCCTCCTCCTCTTCCTCCTCCTCATTGTCCTCTTCTCTCTCCTTGTTCTTCTCCCCTCCTTCGTTCTCCTTCCCAGCCTTCCTTTCTCCGATGTTCTCCTCGGTCCTTGTCCTCCTTATCCTCGTGTTCTGTTCGTCCTGATGGTCCTGGTTCTCATTCCCCCGCCCCCCCTGACCTTCCGGAGCGCCACGGGACAACCCCAGACTCATCATTCTCAGCCAGGGCTTGAAGAGACGTCATGCGTCGGGGTGGCATTCCCTAGCCCTCCTGGAGGTCAGTGCCAGCACGCCCTCCGCCGCCCCAGTGCGTGTACGTGGCGCCCATGAAGGCACTGGTGCAGGAGGTGGTGCAGAGCTTCCAGCAGCGCCTCCAGAGCTATGGAGTCCGCCCCCCTGGGGGAGAGGGGGCTCGGGGCTCGCGCATTGAACAGTCCGACTGGGCCCGACCTGCTCCTCCCCCCGTCCCCCATTCCCGCACAAGCACATCCAGCTTGCCCCTCCACTCTCTCCCCCTTCTCCTTTCTTTCCCCCTTCTCTCCCTCCTCCTCCTCCCCCTCCACCCCTCCCCATTCCCGTCTCCCTCGCCCTCGCCATCTCCGTCTTCCCCCCTTGTCCCCTCCTCCCCTTGTTTCCGTTCCCCGCCACTCCCCTCCCCCCCTCCTCCCCTCCTCCCCCAGTCCCCGTCCCTTCCCTCCCCCCGCCCCCCGTCCCCACCACCGCACGCGAGCTGCATGGGCATCATTCACGTCTCGCAAGCAGGAGCACTGTCTCACCGACTCCGACTTTTTATCAACACTGTAGCACCAACAGTGTTATACGGAGCAGAGACGTGGACCCTCACGGAGCCTCGACGGCAGCATCTACGACGGACACAACGACGCATGTTTCGCATGATCATCAGAACGCCACGGAGACGCACAACGAAAGAAGCCGGCCCTCACAGCGGCCAGAGACCTAATCTCGACGGCGCGAACAATGAAGCAGAAGACCACGAAGACCGCACCAACAGCACTAGCGACGACGCCGACAGCAACCCATCACAGTGTGATGCACCTGACACGCCTGACAAGCACAGCGAAGACGGCGAAGACAGCACCACCGCAAACGAAATGAAACCATGGGTCGACTACATCCAGCGAGCGACACGACGCGCAGAGCACCTCATGAAGCTCCACCATATTGACAATTGGGAGACGCTGCACAAACGGAAAGTATGGCGCATGGCTTCGCGAGTCGCAAACCACGACCGGACGAGGTGGACATGGCGGGTGTTGCGCTGGCACCCAGTCTTCAACCCGCGCCAGCGGGGACACAGGCAGCACGGTGGCCAAAACAAGCGTGGGGACGACGAACTCACCATTTACTTACGTCAACGCAGACCAGACCTCCACCGATTGCCCACGCAAGCCCATTCGAAAGGACAACCGAAATGTCATCACACGAACGCAAACAGCCCAAGACACCGAAGCACGGACAGCGCTCGAGCACCACTTCACCGACCTCACGTCGACCAGCACCCGGGACTCAGACCAATGACGTAAAATCTCAGCAAACGTCGAGACGTCTCGCCCAACCCGCGCCGACACCGACACCAAGGACTTTCTTTTCCTCCTCCTCCCCCTCTCTTCCTAACTTTTTTATATTTCTCGCATTGCATGCATTCAGACACCTCAGATCCTAGAGGCCATGGCCTTACCCACCTGGTCTGCTCTAGGCCCCGACGCTGTCCGCAACGGCGGTCGCATCGCATCGCATCGCCCCCTGTCCCCGTCCCTCCCCTCCTCCCCCCGTCCTTCGTCTCGCTACCACCCTCTCAGGCCACCTGTCCGCCGAGGGTGGCCCTCAGGACCGAAGGGACATGGTGGACGAGGAGGAGGAGGAAGAAACCCACGAGGAGAGAAAGTCAGACGACAAGGATGAGCGTGCGGAGGAGGAGGAGGAGGCGTCCACATTTGACGTTGTTACACATTGTGTTCATGCTGTGGTATGGTATTGAAGCCTGAGGCCCCGCCGAGGGCCCCACGATGGCCTCAGACCACAACACTCCAGGAAGGCCTGGGGCGAGCACCAGACCGCTTCAAGACCGCCTGCAGTAGCGCCCTGACTGACACATTACCGTGGCCAGACGGCCTCGCGACCTTCCCTAACAATACCTGGTCAGCCTTACCGAATCCGCCCCTCTCAGCCGAGGACCCCCCCCCCAACAAGACAGATCTGCAGACGCGTTCCTGAGGCCGTGCTGGGAGAGTTAGCACCCGCTTGCCCTGCCACAAGGGGGAGTTTGATGTTGCACAAGGAGTTGCGGTTGAGGGGAAGGTGTGGGAGAAAACGGAGAGTGACGACGTCGACGTCGACGACTACGACGACGATGTTGATGATGATGTTGATGTTGATGAGGATGTTACTGATGCTGGTGATGGTGACGGTGATGGTGGTGATGATGATGAGGATGAGGATGAGGATGATGATGATGACGTTGATGATGATGATGGTGGTGATGATGATGATGGTGGTGATGGTGTTGCTGATGATGCTGCTTATGGTGATGCTGATGATGATGCTGATGATGCTGTTGATGATGATGATGATGATGATGATGATGATGCTGATGATGATGATGATGATGATGATGATGATGATGATGATGCTGATGCTATGATGTCGATGGTGGTTTGTGATGACAATGACGATGACAGTGTCGATGATGTTGCTGTTGTTGCTGGTGCTGTTGGATATGCTGATTATGTTGATTATGGTGATACGGATGCAGATGGGTTGATGCTGATGATGTTGCTGATGTTTGTGATGGACGACGAGGACTGGGAAACACAGTTGCACTGTGAAGATAAGAAGAGGCGGAGGGGAGGCGGGGGAACATGGAAGTGGGTCCGTACTGAGGATGAGGAGCGAGAGGGAAAGGGAGGAAGAGCAGGGCGAGGAGACGGTCGCGCGCGAAGTGCATGATTGCCTTTCAACTTCAGCCCGCGGGAATCAAGATCGTGCTTCGTGTATTTGTGTGCACTTGTGAGGGTTCGCATGTATCGCATGCGTAACAGACTGTCTGTATGCTCGTATCGTGTATCGAGTCGGAGACGGAAGAATGGCGCGCCGGGCAATCGCAGCGCGCGCTTGGCGCGACGAGGTCATCATCCGCGAGCTCAGCGGCGACGTGAACCTGACGAAGGCCACGCGGGCCGATCCACCGGAGAAGGAGGATGTGGTGTAGAGGAGGACACTCTTGGACGGAGCCGCGCGCGGGGCTTCACGTCGGGTCGGGCTGCGCTCTCCTAAGCCCTGCGTGCGGCGCCCCCCACGGCTTGCGTCCACGACCTGTTTCGGGCCAGGACCCTCGCGTCTTAAGTAGGAGTCTCTTGTAACGTCGACAGTCGTACAACTACGCTCTGGTACAACACTTCAGTCGTCGACGAGAAGTAATAGCAGGCTTCTGGAAGTCAAACCGACACTCATCAGGGGCAGTTTTCTGGAGGAGCAGGGGCAGGAGGGTAGAGAGGAGGAGACGGAGGGGGGGTGCAGGATGAGGAGGAGGAAGAGGATGAGGGGTGGCGGGAGGGAGTCGGGCGGCCACCGTGAGGCCCTACGTAGACCGAGGGGCATCACCCCCCCCCTCCTCACCAAGGCGCAGATCGACGAGACCCAGATCATCGTGACGACCCCCGAGAAGTGGGACATCATCACCCGGAAGGCATTATCCACCTTTTCTGCCTCATCTTGTTTCTTTGTCCTTGCCTTTTCGGAGGCGAAGACGAGATACATCGGGTCGTATCTTAATCCCAGGCAGCGATTCAGGATCCCCCCCTTATTCGTACATCCGACATTCTGGATTTGTTACCCTGGCACCTCCTCCAGAAAGGACCATAGTAGGATTCCAATCGGATCCCAGTAGGATCCCAATATAATAGGCTTCCGCTTGGATGTCACCTGGATTCCAAAAAGGTAGAGGATTTCAATCAGATTCCAGGCGGACTCCAGGATTCAAATAGAAACCCTTTGAGAATCTAGTGGAACCCCAATAGGGTCACGATATAATCTTACGGTCAGGTATCTATGGATAGCGTGTATCGCTTTCTGGGGCAGAGTTTCGACGCTAGGTTCCACGCTAAGTGAAAGCTGAAACAAATCTTGAAAACGGGAGGCGGGGTCCCCAACTGATTGTACACATAAGCGTTCCATGAAATTCTCATCAAGCCTAGCGCTATTACGAATAGTACGAGTACGAGAACGACTACGACTACGACGACGACAACGACGAATACGACGACGACGATGGCTACTACGACGACGACGACCACCACTACTACTACTACTACTACTACTACTACTACTACTACTACTACTACCACTACTACTAAGATATGTCAGGATGTCTCACGCGATGTGGGCAATTCTACAAAGAAACGTGAGGATGTCTTCGGCGATTTGGCCAACTCTTTAAGAAATACCCGCCGCGGGGCCTCCGCGCTCCCCTGGCGGGGACGCGAGCGGTCGCCCCGCCCACGGGGGAGGACCGCATCGAGGATCGAGGATCGGGAATCGAAGATGGAGGGTGTAGGATCTAGGATGGAGGATCGAGGGTCGGGGATCGAGGAGGCTCGAAGATCGGGGATCGAGGATCGAGGACCTTGAAGGGTCGAAGATCGGGGATCGGGAAGGTTCGAGGAGGCTCCTCCAGCCGCATGTGGACCCTGCCACTGGAGCCTTGGGTGGAGCTCCTTACAGGGCAGCGGGACGCTGTGCTAAAACCACTGCGGCCTTCGGTGGAGCTCCCTATGGGGCCGCGAAGCGAAGCACTGGGGGCGGAACCGCATGTGGACCCTGCGTGGAGCTGCCTATGGGGGCACGAAACGTGTGAGGGGTGTGCCGAAATTGTTGTGTGGAGGACAGAGGCAAGGATGGGAGGAAGGAGGAGAGAGGAGGCGGAGGAGGAGTGAGGAGGAACGACGGGATGGTTGGGAACAAAACAATAAAACACCACAGGATATTTGGATACCAAACAACAAATTACGACGTCGGAGATCTGGGTCCCTTGTCCACTTGCCCCCTTGCCATTGTTTCGCAGAGCCTGAATAAAACGATCGCTGCGACTGCCGATCGATCCTGCCACGACCGAAGGTACAGAGCTGCGCGGCCGAGACAGGGTACAAGACGAGACCACGAAGACAAGGCCGCTGCAACAAGTTGGCGACTGCGCACGAGGAGGAGGAGGAGGAGAAGAGGAGGAGAAGGGGGAAAAGGAGGAGGAGGAGTAGGAGGGGGAGGAGAAGAGGAGGAGGAGGAAGGAGGAGGAGGAGAGGAGGTAGGGAAGGAGGAGGAGCAGGAGGAGGAGGAGGAGGAGGAGGAAATTCAGCACAGCCGGTGCACGATCTTCCTCGCGGCCCGCCGGCCACGCGAGCTCAGCCCCACCAAGGCCTGGAGCCGGAGCAAGCGAGCCCCCGCTCCTCCTTCGCAAGCCTCCCGCCTGCACTGTGGACGACGCCGCCTGGCGAACCTCCTCCTCCTCCTCCTCCTCCTCCTCCGCCTCCTCCTCCTCCTCCGCCTCCTCCTCCTCCTGCTCCGCCTCCTCCTCCTCCTCCTCCTCCGCCTCCTCCTCCTGCGACCGAGCCACGAGGGGCGCGCGCGCAGCCCGGCTGCCGCCCGCTGGTGGGCACGGGCTGGCGAGGGGGCGCGCCAGAGCCGCGCTCGCCGTCGCCGTCGAGATCGAAACCGTCGCCTTCGAGGGGCTTTTGTCGTCGTCGTGGTCGTGCGCCGCCCGGGGCCCTCGAGGCTCGAGGGGAAAGACGTCTTGGAACGCGTTCGGTAGACTTTGGGGCGTCTCGCGCCCCGCTTGGGCCCCCCAGGCCTCCAGGGGCCGACGCGAGGGCGCAAATCTCCGACGATCTGAATTGTTCAGTCTTGGCGTTTCCCCTCGATGCCGAACTCTGCGGCGGCCGCTCGGGACGATCCAGGAAAGCCTAGAGCGCTCTCAGCGAGGCGCAGCTGCTGGAGAGCACCCCGAAACAAGAAAGCCTCCAAGAGCAAGCGAAAACGCACCAGACAATCGAGACCCTCCCGTCGTTTATTTCTGACCATCTGTTGGTGTTGGGTCCTCGCTTTGAAGAGACATCGCCCCGCGTATCCTCTCCTCCTTCCTCTCCTCCCTTCTCCCACCCCTGCCTCTGCCCTTCCCATGGCAACCATTCCGGCATACCCCTCACGCGTCTCGTGGCCCCAGAGGGAGCTCCACCTAAGGCCCCAGTGGCGACGTTCGCATGTGGGCGTCACGCCAGTGTAGGCACACACACACACACACAGCGCACACGTCTCGGGGCCCCATAGGGAGCTCCACCTAAGGCCCCAGTGGCGACGTTCGCATGTGGGCGTCATGCCCGTTTCGGCACACCCCTCACGCGATTCGTGGCCCCATCGGGAGCTCCACATAATGCCCCAATGGCCACCACCGCTAACACCATCACCACCACCCCCGCCCCGCCCCGCCCCGCCACCGCCACCCCGCCCAGCCCACCCACCCACCACCACCGCCACCGACGCCAACACCCACCACGCCACGCACGCACGCGAGCGCACGCCCGCACGCCCGCACGCACGCGCACGCACGCGCACCAAAAACATATCCGCCACGAACGCCACTTCCACCGCGCTTAGCGTGTACAGGGATGGCGCCTGGGCGGCGGCTCCAGAGCCCCACTAGCGGAGCCCCGCACGGGGCTTGTCTGTCTGTCTGTCTGTCTGTCTGTCTGTCACTCTCTCTCTCTCTCTCTGTCTCTATCTCTGTCTCTCTCTCTCTCTCTCTCTCTCTCTCTCTCTCGCGCGCGTGCATGCCCAACTTGGTCGTCGACGAGCGCCGTGCTGCAGGGGGCGCGCAACTCACTGACCCAGTTCCCTATCCTATTCCACGAAACAGCGAACGCCACTTCCACCGCGCTTAGCGTGTACAGGGATGGCGCCTGCGCGGCTGCTCATGGGACTTCACTAGCGGAGCCCCACTAGGGACTCAATTTGTGGACCATCGTTCGACGACCGCGAACTGTGAACTGCTACGCGCCTGGCCCATTTAAGAAAAAACTGTGCCGCTTGTTTGTTTCGTTTGTTGGCGTCGCGTTCATGGCGGGCGCAATTGAGCGCGTTGGAATGCGCGCGCGTACACCGCGGGCGCAGGAAGCACGCGCCCAATTGCGGCATCGTCCAACGCGAAATTCGCCTGGGAGCGGCCGAACTCGCACCAAATTGCGCCGCGCTTGGAAATTATCAGAATCGCAGACGCGCGAGCACTGCGACCGCGCGCGCCCTCACGCAGACCAACATTGGTCATCGACAAATACCATGCTGCAGGGGAAGCAGCTCAACAATTCGACACCGAATTCTCCCCCCCCCCCCGCCCCACGCACACGCACACACACACACCACCCAAGCAAGCCCCCAGCCCATCGCAAGCACAACTTGGCGCCTGGGCGGCTGCTCCTGCGAATCCACTAGCGGAGCATCCAACGGGGGCTCGAATTGTTGATTCTCGCGCGATGGCCGCAAGGCGTCAAACTGCGCCCGGGCCACAAAAAAAAGAGAAGCGGCTGCGCCGCTTCTCTTTTTTTTATGGTGGGGGTTAAGGGGGAGGCACTGTTTTTGATGATGGTTGCGGTCAGGGGCCGCGCTCCGAAAAACGAACTTGGCAGGAAACCACTGCAGCCCCCAAAAAGTCATGCCGACCTTGATTCAGCTCGAAATTCCTGCTATCAAACGCTTTTGGGGCGCATGCACCGCATGCGCAGGAAGCAGTGGCCAAATTGGGGCCTTGGCACGGCCGAACTCAAACGAATTGCGCCGCAATCGGAGAAGATCAGAATCGCTGCCGCGCTAGCACTGCGACCAAGTGCACTCGCACGAAGGCCCAGATTGATCAGCGACAAACGCCACGCTACAGGGGGCGCAGATCCAAATTTCAGGACCCCCCACTAGCGCCACCACCACCGCGACCACCACCACCACCCCCGCCCGCCCCGCCCCGCCACCGCCACCCCGCCCAGCCCACCCGCCACCCACCACCGCCACCGACGCCAACACCCACCACGCCACGCACGCACGCGAGCGCACGCACGTACGCACGCACACACGCGCACGCACGCGCACCAAAAACAGATCCGCCACAAACGCCACTTCCAACGCGCTTAGCGTGTACAGGGATGGCGCCTGGGCGGCGGCTCCAGGGCCCCACTAGCGGAGCCCCGCACGGGGCTTGTCTGTCTGTCTGTCTGTCTGTCACTCTGTCACTCTCTCTCTCTCTCTCTCTCTCTCTCTCTCTCTCTCTGTCTGTCTCTATCTCTCTCTCTCTCTCTCCCTCTCTCTCTCTCTCTCTCTCTCTCTCTCTCTCTCTCTTTCTCTCTCTCTCTCTCTCGCGCGCGCGTGCATGCCCAACTTGGTCGTCGACGAGCGCCGTGCTGCAGGGGGCGCGCAACTCACTGACCCAGTTCCCTATCCTATTCCACGAAACAACGAACGCCACTTCCACCGCGCTTAGCGCGTACAGGCATGGCGCCTGCGCGGCTGCTCATGGGACTCCACTAGCGGAGCCCCACTAGGGACTCAATTTGTGGACCACCGTTCGATGACCGCGAACTGTGAACTGCTACGCGCCTGGCCCATTCAAGAAAAAAACTGTGCCGCTTGTTTGTTTCGTTTGTTGGCGTCGCGTTC